CCCCTTCTGGAAACCTTTGCTTTCCATCGACGGGGTTACGTAGCAGGCCGCTGCCACCGTGGGCACGACGTGCCCGGCTAGCATGCCAGAGGGGAGAGCGTGGCGTCAGAGCGCACAGAGCGTTAGTTGGCGTAACTCGCGCTTGGACGGCGGAGAATTAGGTCATGTTTGCCCCTTGACAGCCGAATTAGTCCGACTGAAAGTCGCGGCCGATGAAGCGCAGGGTCACCGTCATCAGCCCCTATTGTTCACTCCGCTTTCTTGTCTGCGGGCGACACGCTAATGCTAGTTCCTTGACCTTTAAAGAGCATTTCGTTTATCATGTGCGAGAGGTCCAGCTCAGCCCAATGGGAACAATGGCCTAAATACACACACTGCTGAATGTGTTAATCTTGGAGCAGTTTTCCCTTTTAATCTGAATCACACTGAACAAATCTGGGGGGCTGTTGAAGCCTTTTGTGTTCCTCCCTCTCTCTCTCTCTCTCTCTCTCTCTCTCTCTCTGGGGGTTGGGGGGGCGGGGAATCAGTGTGTATGGCTGGGGGTAACGGGAGCGGACTTCCGTACATTCGTACAATTAATCATCTCATATGACACAAACAACTGCCTTTGCTCACTCTTGCAGCCAAACTTTCTTCTAATCCTGTGGCCGTAACGGCGTCTAAATGTACTTTTTTTTTTCATTTTTGTGTTAAAAATGTTACAAAGTGATTTTTATTTCTAGGAAATAAAACACAAAATGTTTATGTGAAAATTTTCTTCGTGCATTCACGGCACCAAGGATTCACAGGAAGATGAGGATTAGACAATATAGGGTCTGGTGTATAATATATAACAGGTCACCACATGGGAAGGTTGTATGTATGGATATGTATTAATGTCACTATGTAACACACTTGGAAATCTAGACACATTAACTAACATCAGGAAGAGTTATGGTGGATGTTATATCCAGAATCATAGTGCTACTGCAGATTTCCAGTGAGGGCAGTGCCCTCATCGGAAAAAAACAAAATTAATTTAATGTCGTTTCCAGATTTACACTTACGAATGCAAAATATGGAAGAGTAAGTTCCAGCTGCGCTGAAACATTACGATATTTGTACAAGATCATTTACCTGTCGGCTAAAACTTGGTGCAGTGAATGGAGTGAGGCATTAACAGGAGTGACTGCGAGAGTGTGCACGTGTGGGCACCTGTGTGAGGTCATGGCGCCCCCTAGTGAGTCCTGAGGTCTGCAGCTCACCTCTGCTGACCCACTGTCGGCACACATCTCCCCGTAGTGGCCCTCCCCACGCTGGCTGGCCAGTACCCCATCTTCTCCACGGGACACCCCACCAAGCTGATGGAGGACGGGAAGATGCACGCGGTGGAGCACCTCATCAACCCCCTGAGCATCCAGCAGGACCCTGCGGTGGCCGCCCCCACCGCCACCGTCCTCCCCGCCGTCTCCACCCCTCCCCCGTTTCAGGTCAGCCCTGTCTTTCCACCTCAATCCACTTCCTGTCCTGACAGATGCATCTCGGGGAAAATTAAACGTTAAATGTTTCTGTTTCCTGCACTGCTCCTGCACGAAGGGCCGATCGTGAAGGAAGCGAGTCACCCCGTCCTCTGTGGTATCCCATGTAAACAAGGGCCTGTTTTTACAAGTGGCCTGCATGATGTTGTGTTTTCACGTGAGAGCTTGTCACGAGGAGCTGTGTGAAGGTGCTCTGATCTCCGGGATGGTCTGTTCTGATGCAGCACCGGAGCCACAGAGCATTGACAACATCCTACACATTATACTTTATTCACTCTGTATGTAAAGCATGCCCCGCAGTTTTTTCTGGGTGATACAGCTGTGTGTGGCACAGTGCTCAGACATACTGGCATAAAATATACATAAAAATATGTGTAAAGTGCAGTTTCATAGAACGCTCAGTAATGCTAATGAACTGACATGAATGAGCCATGAAAAAGTTAAGAGAAACCACAGTTCCTGTTGGAGCTCATGTCTTCGTACTCTCTTCTTCCTCCTCCACCTCTCCTTCTTGATCTCCATTCCCTCCACATGGTGCATTAGCAATGCGGTTAACATTGTACTTATCAGTGACATGAATGAGTCATGAACACATTTAAAAGTTAAGAGAAACTGCAGTTCCTGTTGGAGGCAGGGTTGCCAGCTTCCGGCGTGACACTCACGCTTCCAGACTCACGCTCACGCATGAAATCTTACGGCAAATCGATATTATTTCATTCTTAAACTTAAAATTAGCCACATCAAAAGCTTTGGGGTAGTTTGCAAACCTTACAGGGTATTTACAAGGTAATAAAACTGTTACATACATGTAAATGCGCGTGCATGTGTGTGCAGACTTGTCTGGAATTGATAATCTCACCCCGGCCAGCTGACGGACGTTGGCAGGCCAGAGGAGGTCATGTGACTTGCTCCTTCACCCCCCCCCCTCTGTGTATGCCCACAGGGTCGCCCAATCACTCCGGTGTACGCCATGGCGCCCAACGTGCAGCGCCTCCCGGCGGTAGCCGGCCTGTACGGCGCCGGGTACGGGGCCAGCTACCTGCCCATCGCGGCCCCGGCCAGCACCGCTACGCTGGCAGCCCTGCAGAAGAACGCGGCCGTGGCCGCTGCCTACGGGGGCTACGCCGGCTACGTGCCGCAGGCTTTCCCGGCCACGGCGTTCCAGGTGCCGCTCCACGACGTCTACCAGACGTACTGAAGGAGCCGCCCTGCGCTCTCCGGACAGGGAATAAACCGAAGGAAAGAACGCGTATTTATGAAGAGCCAGTGCCGTTTTCACGAGTCCCAGCTAGCTAGCCGACGGAACCCAGGAGTGTCGTTTGACAGAATTTCAAGTGCATTAAACCTCCGTGGCTAAAGAATATAATAAATATATTAAAAAAAACAAAATAGAAAGAATATATTTTAAAAAAAGAACAGTATATTTTACAAAATGTTTGTGAGTTTAACAGCTACTCAGAGAATTTTATTAGATGCTGTACTACATTATTTTGTATTTTGTAGAACACTTATTGCTTCCGTCCGTATATTTTACCTCTGCAACTTAAAAGAGCGTTTGAATTTCATTTATTATTATTTCATTGTTTTTTTCTGGTATTTTTGGTATTATTGATACTTTTTGTGTTTATTTGTGTCCTGCTGGCGAACCACTGTGCCACTTTTTTTTTGTTTTTTTTTTGAAGGACTGGTGCATTTAGTTCAGCTTGGACTCTCCTCTCACGTGACCTTTCACCTCCAAAAGCAACATGAGATAGTAATCAGACGGCAATAAGAATAGCAAAAAAAATTTCAAACCAAATGCAGAACCTGCCACTGAAGCATTATCCGAATGTACTGGAGCACCAGCAACTGGCAGACCGGTGTCCACTGGCGCTGTAACTCTCTGCGACTGACAGGTTGTGATTGTGGCCTTCATGTCTCAAACCTGAAATGTGGTTTCCTGGGAGACGAGGCTATGGAGAAGATGCAATGAAAAAAACATGGTAGCAATCTGGACTATCCTCATCCATTCAAGTCAAGTTCGAGATTTGATCAGATGTAGCAACTTCGTTTTGGTTCTAGGTACTTATTTCTCACAGGAAACGGAATGATTAATATTCTTTTTCTTTTCTACACTACACCCCGTGAAGAAAAGCTTCCATCTTCTGAGGTTTCCCAGCAAAACAGGATTGAAGACATATTTGCATTTTATTGAGTAGTTTGGATGCCGTTTCACATTGCTGCTTTTCCTCATATGAAGAATGCATGACATTGTTTTGCTGAACAGTCCTGTCTCCTCAGAAGATGCACCTGTCAAGCATGAGTGCTTACAAAATGATCCCGACCTCTCTCCTCACTTCCAGGAGCCCAGCCAAACAGTTTAGTCACCGTCTGGAGACTGATCATGCCTTAATTTGCCGTAATCTTGCAAGTAGATTGGTCTCTCCATCGCCTCTGAAGTTGGGTTTGGGTAGACGGCCCTTGGCTTAGCAAGTGAGAGAGGGCTGTCTTGTGTGTGAGCTTGCAAAAGGCTTACAATATACATGTCTTAGATTCATCAAAGCGAAAATCTGACTCAGTCCCTGCAAAATTCAGAGCTGTAAGAAGCAGGTTGTCTTTTGTTAAGCTACTGCAGACTTTGTAGATACTAATGTTCCCTGAACCTCTAAAAACAATTATTTAAGACTTAAGTGCTTAATTTGAAATAGTCCTTTTTTTGTGGCGTGTTGTTCCAGTTCATTACAGTAGGCCTTCGGTTTTTTTGTATATGCTTTGATACTTGCTTTTAATGTAAAGGTCTTTTGCCCGACGCATACCTGTTTTATTTTAGTTTTTGTGACCTTTGTTTTTTCTTTCACTAGTAACCTCTGTCCTGGCCCCACGTTGATACGCCGTGCTGATCTTTTTTTATCGAGGGTGGGGAGTGACACCACAATGCAAAGCAGACAGTTAAGCGGGTGTTTGACGAGCTAGTGGTGCTTACTGTGTGAGCTTAGACCCCAGCAGCGGGCAGTCACTGTGTTCCGGCATGTTTTGTATGGCGTTGCCTTGACCGAGTAGGAACTTTGATACTTGCACAATGTTTGTTTCTTGTTTGGCCTGTTTAAAGGCTAATTTTATAACGTTTGGGAAATGTCAATGAACGGTTCCTTCACAACACTCTATTACAACAAAAGTTAGGACATATTTAATATATTCAGTGCACAAGTTTTATATGAGACTTAGAGAGAGAGCGAAAAAACAGTATAATATATTTAAAAGGTAAAAATGTTTTCTTTTATGTCTTTTTTAACTGTAACCTTGACAACTTGTTTTTTTGCCAAAGCATCCAATACGAAGAGAACACTTAGCAAGAGCTGATATTTTCCAAGAACTGATATTTTGTGTTTTACAAGCTGAAGAAAAAAACAAACAAAAAATGGAAACACACTAAGTGAGTTGAGTGAAGGCATTGATTGTAATCATGAGAAGCAGGCCAGGGACTGACACCCTGAGGGTCTTTCCGCGTCCCTGGGGAGGTTCTGTTGGACCTTTCTGTGAGGCGCTTTGACCTGAATAGCAACAATGAAACACACAGCTGTGTAAACGGGTAAAGCTGTACATTGCTTTGGAGTAAAAAACGTTAAGTAGACAGAAAGAGCGTTTGGTACTGCTGTGAGCTGCCGATGTGGACGCCACGACTCTCCCATTTCACTGTCGCCTCAGAGGTGGCTTTTCAACTTCAAGCAGATGTTCTGAGCGATGTAAACGAACAAGACATGTATGGTTCATGAAATATTACTTAAGTGCAAACGTTTAGCGTGCCTTCTGCCAAAAAGTGCTCTAATTCCATAGGCCTCTAACCCTGTTTTTTGTTTTTATTTCGACGTTTTAGCATGCTTGTGCAGAATTGCTGTCTTTATAGTTTTACGTAGTTAATAAAGCATTTTTTTGGAAAGGAAAACGCCCCCGCCTCCTGCCTTTGTATGCACCTGAGCCGACCGCAGCCTCGCGGTGGTTATGCCGCACCACCTGAGCGACCGTCGCTAACCGTCGTTACGGGGCGCGCGATGGAAACGCTCCCGGTGTGACCTCACAATGGCACAGCGAGCCGCCGTCTCCTGGCCGCGATCCAGTCATGCTGTTGTGGTATTTAAGGATGATACAGATGCAGACTGTGCGGCATTCAGCAACACAACGGAGCGGCGCTACAGAGAGAATTCAGTTCAGTTGTACACCCACACACACCCACACACAGAGTGCTGAAAAAAAAAAGTTAATTGACCAACGAAAATCATGTTTGAAGCTATTTTTCTGGGCAAGAAGTATATATTTGCTCAGAAAATGAACATTATGCAACATCAGAAAGTGTACTGATAAACGGAAATACTATAAAAAGGAACACAAATAGTTTCAGTTCTCCAAAAAAGTTGTGTGGTATCTTGTTGGATGGCTAGAAACACACCACTTGGGTTTCCCAAATCGATCCTCGGGGACATTGGATCTATACGTTAAAATTCACCACTAGCTCATTCCACCATCTAGCAATAGCATTATTATTAACACTGGTATGACAGTGATAAAGGTTACACGTTATTAAATGTTGGCGTCAGAAAGCCACAGTAAATGCATACGAGGGGAAACAATAAGCAATAGCTCCTGTGAAAATTGTAGGAGAATATTAAACTCTGGAGGGCCGAGGTAAACAGGCTGCAAATCGCACTGGGACACGCTAAGGTTACTGAAATGAGGAGCTGGAATGTATGCGTCATGTGACTGAGGGAGTGACCCAATCAGGTTCTGGTTAATGGGGTGACAGTGTCAGCGTCTTCATTATAAACCAGGACACAGCCTGTGTCATTGTCTTATTCAATGAATGCGGTTTGCGGAGCTGTGCTACGATAAAGCGACAGATTAGCAGTTCTGCCGCATGCCTTATGGCCTTTTATAAGCTCCACGAGCCGACGCAGAAAAATGCATTATTGATGCGCATTTGCAGCACACGCAGATAGTCTTACATCTCGAACCCCTCTGAAAGACAAAGCTGATCATTAACAATTTACCGGGCACTTTTGAATAGAAAATATTCTGAGCTTTGAACCTCGCAGGGCCGCCATTGCTGTCCACACTGGGCATCTTGTTTCCAGCAGGAAACGTGGACGGTGATCACCTCCATGATTGTTTTACCGGGTTTTACTCTACAGGGAAGCAGCAGCACCCAAGATCAGCTTGTCCACCCCGCTGCGATTGAGGACAGCGACAACATGACGTTCCTTTCAAATTATTTTAAATGCTGCCAAGCCATCAGATTTTATATTCATATGTGGGGTCTGGCTTGTGGCTCAGTGGGTTAGAACACTGTGCCTGTGATCAGAAGGTCGCCAGTTCAAATCCCAGGCTCTGAAGTATAATGTCACCATTGACCCTTAACCCCAATTGTTCCAGGGACTGTCTGACCCTGGTTTATCAGTCGATCATCACAATGGACAAAGGCGTCTACTAAATATACACAATGTAAATATTCTGCAGAAGCACTGTCAGATGTGTCTAGAAGTAAGGTGTCTAAACATTCTATTTGTGAGTCATAGATAAATAAAATGAGGCTGATGATGATGTGTTATGGGGCTTTGCCTATGACCAGAATGCTCATGAGGAAGACCATGATGAAGAAGATCCACATGAAGAACCGGTCCATGACTTTGGCCACCTTTTTCCACTCAGCTCCCTTGGCACAGGTGGCTTTCTGCTCGCGGAAACAGTTGGCAATGTACTCAACGTTCCTCATGATCTTGGCGTGGCCGGCGCACGTACACGGATAGATGTCAATCTTCTCCGGGTTGCACAACTCCTCCTTCAGGCAGCCGTTGATGTTGGTGCTGGACTCGAAGTCCTCGTACCTCCTGCAGCCCCGAGGAACCGGGTGCCCTTTGCGCTCCGCATTGCCGTGCTGCTGCTGGGGCTTACCGTGGCCGTGTTGCTCCTCCTCCTTGGTCTGCGGAGAGGTACAGTTCTCGCCGACTTCGTACACGAAGAAGATCTTGGACATGTAGTCTATGATGATGACCTTGGCCCAATGAGGGACCGGCTTGGCCTCCGCTCCACAGAAGTGGATGTTCATAATGAATATAGTTAGCGCTGTGGAGGCTGTGATCATGGTCATTGTAGCTATGTAGTACTTCCCTATGAGAGAAAGAATACTTAATATGAATGCATCTCCTCTTATGTTCCTACAATGTTTTGTAATGTGGCTCTTGTTCCAGTGCTAACTTGTTACTGGTCATTCAGTGGAAGCTCATCGTTGTTGCACTTATGCGTGCTTGGTTCCTTGACAGCTGTATGCATGTGGTGTTCTACCTGTAAGTCTCTTTGGACAATATATATCAATAAAATCACCCGCCCAGGCTATTACCAGCCTCGGACCCTTTACTCCCTGGGTTAGGGTCCAAGCTTCCTGTTTTTGGGTGAATGGATGCAACGATTGACACCAATAAAAGCCCAAATTACAATGTATTTAAGGGTCAGTAAATGCAATATATTTAAAATGATCCGATTGGCTGGGACCTACCAATGAGGGGGACGCTCTCTGAGGGGGGCATGCTCTCAGCCACCATGAGCTGGAAGACGGTGAGCGCCAGCAGCACGGTGACCCCCAGGGACACCTTCTCCCCAGAGTCGGCGGGCAGGTAGAAGCCGAGCGGGGCCAAGAAGGAGATCATGAGGCAGGGGAGGAGCAGGTTGAAGATGTAGAAGGAGGAGCGTCTCTTGAGGAGCACGGTGTAGGTGATGTCGGGGTAGGGATCGGAGCAGCAGCCGTACATGATGACGTTCTTGACGGCCGGCATGCCCTGGCACTCCCACTCCACGTTCTCCACGAAGTCGGACAGGTCGCCGCTGTCCATGCCCATGGCGATGTCAACCTGGTTGCCGTTGTACGTCCAGGAGCCGAACGTGAGGTTGCAGTGCTGGCTGTCGAAGGGGAAGTAGGACACGTCCACCACGCAGGAGCTCTTGGTGATGGCCGGGGAGTCCCAGGTGATCTCGCCGTTGTAGCGAAGGACCACGTTGGTGTCCAGCGGCCCGGAGAAGTCATCGTCAGCCCTGTAACGGGAGAGCAGGCGGGCGAATTACCAGTGGGCGGACATGATCAGCCGTAAAAGGCCTTTTCTAGAACGTTCCTGTTGTCTAATAGTACAGAATCATCAAGTACATTAAAACGATAAAGTGCAAAAATTCTGGCCTGCAAACAAATCACAAGTCATGGTGGTTTCCGGTCAGGCTCTTAGTAGGTGTCACAGCTAAGAGTGAGTGTGACCATAGGAAGAGCCTGGTCACTACTAAGTAAACAAAACAGAATCATGGACTATTCGTAGCATTTCTTCTGTGACATGAGCGGCGACTCCTGCTGTACTTGTTGTAAAGGACGATGTCCGGCCTCCAGACGAGGCTGCTGGGGATGCGGATGACCTCCAGGCCGTCATAATCCTCCTTGTTCCACTTCAGGTAGGCGTCGTGCCAGGTCTGCCTGATCCACAGGTACGTAATCAGCACCTGGTTCCGCTCGTCCTGCACACAGAGTTAAAGCCGAATGCCTTATGGCTGGATGATCGCCATCGCTATGGAAATCCGGGTTGCATCACGCGTGAGATCACCTCTGAAAATGACTACAGAAGAAATTTCAAAGACACCAACTCAACTGCATTAAAGATGCATCTAAAATGTGTGTTAAAAATATATCGCCGTTGTTCCAGTTTGTGCATTATATTAAAAATACATGCGTCCCCATTGATATATAGAGCAGAATCACTCTGCTCCTTTAATTGGACATTTGAGGACCTGGTAAGGGTGACTCATTCGACACAAATTGCATTACTGGAGGGGATAAGGCTTTCAGACTGTCACCCCGAGCCTGAAATCAAGACACAGCTGTCAATATCAGGTAGAGACGAGACATATATGTGTATCAGTGACACCACCCAAAAGTTGTGTGTGTGTATATGTGTGTGTGGGTCAGATATACATTACATTGTGGGGACCAAACATCGCCACGATGTGATAAAAACCTATTATTTTGACGTTGTGGGAACCATTTATTGCAGCGAAATTCAATTTTATAAAAAATCTGTGACTGCAATCGAAAAACTAAAAATGCCAAAAGTCTTGTATTTTGTTTGGTTACTTATGGTGAAGGTTAGGTGGGTAGGGGTTAAGGTCGTCATTGTTGGGATTAGGGTTTTGCCCGTAGAAATGAATGGAGAGTCCCCACAAAGATATAACTAGCAGCCTGTGTGTGTGTGTGCTGGGGGTGGAGGGGGGGAGGCGAGAGCAAATGAACTTGAGGCATTCTGAAAAACAGCGGCCTGGTTTTGGTCTCCAAAGATCTCCGCTTACACAGCAGATAACGGCCAGACAGGGTGGCCATTGATCAGCACACATCAGTCTGCCACCAGAAAAACCCAAACAATCGCGCCGTAACCGATCGCGCTTCCTGGTGTCATGTGTTTCCAGAACGGCACCCTCGTCGTAATGCACACCCCCTCAGACCCTCTGTGGTTTCCGTCGATAACGACTGGCCCAGTGATGTCCTGCAATGTCGTCCGGGGTGGTGTGGGGGGAGGGGCAAATCCAGTCAGCTGACGGGCACAGTGTCTTGGTTACGCTCCAGTTTGTTACACGCACCCCCACAACCATGTCACATGACCCAGCTGCAGTATTTACCACCATGTAGGCCATTCATTTGCATGGGGCCCCCTGTTGGCCACAAACAGTCACTACACTTGGAGCACAGAAGTGACAAAGCCACCCCTGAACTGGCTGATTTGGTAAGCGGGCTGCCCTAGCGAGCCGCTTCAGTACCGAGGCAGCCCCCCCATCCATGGGACCATCAGCCTGTTTTTTTTTTTCCCATGGTACCTTTGGGCACACTCCCCCCCCTCCAGTGGACTCACCATATCCTTGATCTGCGAGAGGGTGACCTGCAGAGTGACGTTCAGAGCCTCGTCCGTGTCCTCCACCGGCCGTAGGGCGCTGGAGTAATTCTCCATCAGGTCATTCAGGAGCTTCTGGGCGTAGCGGCCCTGAGCAGTGAGGACACCTGGGGTGGGGAGGTGGGGGGGGGGGTCGGGGTCAAAGCAGCCGTCTGACAGAGGGGAGCCTGTGTCGGGTCGCTCTATATGCGTACGCTGCTGCTCAGAGACCTGGACAGACTCGCTGTCCAGATATGTGCAGAGTGTAGCCTGACTGAGAGAAAGCTTGGGGGGGTCACAGTGCGGGGGCAGCCAGCATGCCGGGGGTCCTGCCCAGCTGAGGCCGGACCTCAAACCGACAACCTGAGCGTAGGCACAAAGGCTTGGCTCGCTCAGCCACACACCTAACATACAGGCGTATATTATGGATTACACACACACATATATATATATATCATATCAATAAATATATATATCAATAAAATCTATTTCGCAGATGCTTTATCCCAAACGTACAATTAAGCACAGGGTCAGACAGCAGCTGAGAATAAGGGCCTTGCTGACGGCCCATAGTGAAATCAGTTTGCTGACGCTGGGATTCAAACCTGCGACCATCCGTGCAGATGCACAGCGCCCTGACTCGCTGAGCCACACACCACACCCCATTGTTAAGTATTTGTTATTGTTTTTTTTCCCATGGTGCCTTCTCCTGGGGCTACTTCCCTAAGCCCCAGGAGATGTGGATCGCTGTGGCACATCTCTGCGGCACATCTCTGACAGCATTACAATATGGTCCTAAGGAACAGCTCATTTCAAAAGAAATATTACAGGAAAGTGATTTTTTGTAAGAAGTGAAACATCTTCTGCATCCTGTGATGTAATCATTATAACTCATTTTCATTATTATTCAGTTTTTTCAGGGTTTTTGATCTATTACCTATTATTTTAAATGTTTAAAATATATTAAAAATGTCTGAAAGATTTAAAGTTTGAGCTAAAAACATGATTATTATATCATGTCTTGCTTGAAAAAAAAGAGGAGAAATTGAAAAACAGGAAGTATTGCATCACACCTTTATCACAGATACTTCAAGCGGAGACTTTTTTCACAGATGCTGAGGTAAATGTGGTCTTACCTTTCAGAAACAGCAGTATCACGCTTACGATAAGTAGGCTCCTCTCCATTTTCTGACCGCTCCGGACCGGACAAAGCATGGAAGAGTCGGGCCTTCTGCTGGCGGCTGCCGCTGGGTCCAGCCAAAGCCCGGCTCAGCTCGGACGGGGGATCTGCATGGCGATGTTCCTGCTCGCCTGTGCCGTCTGGCCATCTCGGGGCTGTAGTGTAGCGTCATACCCCCCCACCACGTCCATGGAATAAGACCGGGGCTATCGCATGGCGCCCAGGGTCTGTGGAAATTAGATGCCCAGAATAGCCGCTCGCTAGACAGCTATTCATTTGTCAGTCAGAATGCTAATAGACGGCCCCTCTGTGTGGCAGCGGCCCGGTACAGCCAGCATGGACAGAAGCAGCGGTGTCTTCCACCAAATTTCAACGTTACTATATATCAGTGTTTACCACCCTGGTCCTCAGGGAAACCCACCCTCTGGGAGGGAGCAAACATGTGGACTGTCTGAGGGTCCCTGAGGACTGGGTTGGGAAACCCTGATACATAGTAATTAGCAGTGTCTGTGGCACCCTAGGCCAGCTTCACTGCCGGCGCCCCCTGTCTGAGACAAAGGGAAATCGGCTAGCTAAGTCAGCGCCCCCTCAGAAGCTGGTGCCCTAGGCCAGCTTCACCACCGGTGCCCCCTGTCTGAGGCAAAGTGAAATCGGCTGGCTAAGTCAACGCCCCCTCAGAAAATGGTGCCCTAGGCAGCAGCCTATGTTGCCTGAGAGGTTTACCAGCTCTGGTAATTAAATAAAATATTTTCACTGCCTTCAAGAGATATTCAAACATAGTAATCAGTGTTACAAGGCTGGCATATTTCCAGACTCCTTGTTTTACATTTATGTCAACAGGAAATGAAACGATACAGTCTTTAATGGGTAGTCAAAAAGCACAGCATGATCTTTCTCGTGGCTTATGAATTCAGAGAAAACGAGAATCTGTGTCTGTCTGTTTTTTTTGTAGTTCTTAAGCTTTATTTCTCCTTTCTGGATGACTCTCCGAGCGGCAATTTTTAAGCTAGTTCTGGCTAAAGAATAATGGCTGGACTCCAGGTGAATCAGCAGGTGAGGGAGAATGGGATTTTCTGTAGCGATGGCACATAATTCTGAAATGTTACACAGAGGGCATGACAACCACATAATTTAACTTGTACAGTACTGTGCAAAAGTCTTAAGCAGTCAAAGAACATGTTTAAAGCTACTTATCTGGGTGGTGAGTCTATATTTGCTCAGAAGTAAAACACAATTCAGGAAGAGAACCTATGCAGATTAAAAGTAACAATAAAACAAGCAAGAATTTCTTCTGCTGTCCAAAAAGTCACTGATGGCACCTCAGCCATTCCATGTAATTATTAAACTACACAACTAACTCAAAGAGGTTCTGATTGGCCGAATAAGGTAGTATATACTAGTGGTTGAGAAAATACATGAGTGTATTGGATAGTTGCTGCAAACACTGGGCTGACTTTAGGAGAGGGTTTGAAATGGCCAGCTCACTGAAATGGCTATCCGACTGAAATGGCCAGCTCACTGAAATGGCTATCCAACTGAAATGGCCAGCTCACTGAAATGGCTATCTCACTGAAATGGCCAGCTCACTGAAATGGCTATCNACTGAAATGGCCAGCTCACTGAAATGGCTATCTCACTGAAATGGCCAGCTCACTGAAATGGCTATCCCACTGAAATGGCTATCCCACTGAAACGGCTAGCTCATTGAAATGGCTAGCTCACTTTGGCAGACATAATATCATAGTGTTACACCAACATGATGGTCATTTGAACATCCCTTTCTTTGGCTGCCTCAGACTTTTGCACAGTACTGTATATTCTACCATGTGGTCAATGAATCATAAACAAGGCTCTTCTGAAAATATTGGGGGAACAGACTGCACAGCGTGAGAGTGGCAGAGGCGTGGCCTGGCCCGCTGGCGGCGGGCTGCTTGGACGCGGCTAAGCGAGGGGCCACAGGAAGGGGCCCCACATCACTTCCTGTTCTCGCAGATGTGCGCGCTGACAAACCCCTGCCACAGAAATGTGCAGATCGGCGACAGAATGGAAACTGCATGCGCCGCGGATGAGATGAACGTTTTTGCCATAAAAAAGTGCTTTTTCCATGAAAGGTGTAACTTGACTTGGCATCTTATCGGGTGGTGAAGGGGCGGGTACTGGCAGTGGAGGCAGGGGGGAAGCAGGTGCATAATGACGCATCTGATTCAGCCCCAAAGCACCGAAACCATCACACCACGCTAACCAGCCCCAACGCTTCCTAAAGCACCTTTCATCCAAAGAGTAAAGTAACAACAAGGCACCTATATTACTCACATCCACAAAAAAAGGTCTGCACACTGAATTTACCAGAGCCTTTGGCTTGGTGACTGCCTTTCGCACAAAAACGAAGCCTTCTCTGTCACCTATTTGCGCAAGTTAAAATGTCATTTGTAATGAGGTGCCTTTACTCACAGTGACTTGTGAATAATTGTGCACATTACGTACAGTGTTATGTGGTTTTAAAGCGTGTGGTTTTATTCTGAACACATCACATGTTCTGTATACTGAGCCAGTGCAGATTCATTCCCAGCTGCTTCAAATTTGCAGGGTTTATGGGTAACAGGATGATGTTCCTGGCCTGATCTCCCTCTTCCATAGGATCCTGAGCTGGGGGGGGCGGGCAGGGGGACAGCGACCCTAAGAAGGCAGGGGCGCCCTCTCCCTGCAGCTCAGGTGGTTACATATCTAATGTACGCGTCTAGAAGCCGTCTCCATGGCAACACCCGAAGCAGGGGCTTGCTGGCCAAGGATCAGCCACAGCTGCTTCCTGTGCGGGGGGGGGGGTGGCACCGCTCACTGTGGGCCCCTGTTTACAGGAGTTCATTCACGACCGCTGAAGCGTGAACTCAATTAGTAACACAGGAGGTCACATGGCTCTGCCAAACTCCAACATAATACCTCAGGTAACGGTTGACGGTCCTGCAACTCAACTCCAGAGGGGCTTGTATGCACCAAACACTTAGGTATCATTCCCAAGGTGTCCCGATAATTGCTCGTAGGAAATTGACTGAAATGCACGACTCTTTGACGAGAATATGACCCTATGCTGCAGAGCAATACAGATGACGCCAAAGTGGAGTCCTGGCTGCAGAGCTAGCTCCTTCGGCGAGAGCGTACTCGCAGGAAGCTGCTGTGAAAAGCTCAGTCTGAAGGCCCACAGACTTCATGTGTTATGGAGCCTCTGGGCAGCTCTTCAGAGCACAGAGCTGGGATGTGGTTTTCAACCAGCCCCTACGAAGAGGCAGAGATAGAACATCTCCGTAAACCACAGCAGGCAAGGCAGCCACACTGCCAGCTTCCAGGTACTGAAGCGCTTTCACTGTAAGCTCCAGCAGCGGCTTGCATGGGAACAACCAACGCAAGCGTTTTAGCGTCTCAGAGACTTTGTAAAACTTTACTCTAAGTACAGACATCCATTTTATTTATTTAGCCGACACTTTTATGTAAGGCAACGTACATTTTTGAGATAGCAGAGCGATTGGGGATTATGGGCCTGGGGGGGGAATCACTGCCGCCGACCGCTGACCAATCGCAGGGAGCAGGCGCAATACAGCAGAAATATATCACAAATTTTTTAAGGCAGGATCATGATCTACGATTTTATCACAATTCTTTTTTTATGTTGGTTTTTAAGACTATTTTGCAAGTTACCGAAGAGCAGAACCTCATTGCCCTATTTTTAAAAATATAACCCAGTAAGACAACAGAAGCTAAAAGCAGTACATACTCAGCAAACTTTTATTTTTGTGGTGGTTAAAATGGTTTGTCGCATTGCCATCCGACATCTTAGCATATTTTGCAAATGATTGTTGTTTGTAATGCGTCAGTTTTGGAAAATCCAAACAAGTTCCATATTATTGATGTCGAATTCTTTTTAGGGACCAGTTCCTCCGCGTCGTCCATGTTGCATAATTGCCAAACGGGGAATGTGCTGCATGTTGCGACGAGGAATGTGCTGCATGTTGCGACGAGGAATGTGCTGCATGTTTCGTGTCGCATGTTGGGACGGGGAATGTGCTGCATGTTGCGTGTTGCATTTTGGGACGAGGGCGCGAAAGGTAGAGGGGAAGAAATCCAAGGCACTGCCTACTGGTTTACTGGCTGACAAAACAACTCTAGATGTGTGTATGAGCCACAGACATGCAACTGACAAAATGTGGACTGTAGTGTGATGCGAACGATCTCTCCGTAAAGGCAGATTGTCGAGACATTTTAATCGTTCACGATCTAATATCATCGCACCATTAGCTGAGCTAGACGCTGGCCCCCATCTGTCCATCCGGGACAGGGCCAGAGGGGGGGTGTGCAGCCTAACCAAGGGGGCAGGAGATGATGTTGGAGCATGGATCTCTATAAATATGCCTGTTACACTCTCACACTTTGGTGTAATGGTGCTACACTCACCAAAGTGAGATCAGACTTTGCATTTAGGGGATATTACTGGTTTTTGGAGGGATTTCGTACCCAAGTCCTGCCTGGTTTCCATGATGACCTTCACCGGGAAGGTCAGATCTGCTGTATCAGCGACTCTGTGTCTATTCCTCCCAGTCTGTGTCTATTCCTCCCAGTTCGACTTCCAGCTCACTTTGCTGGCATGTAAATTCAGGACAGTTCTCCTCTGCCAAATGACAGAGAATCCCAGTCAAGCTTTAATGTGTTATTCTCTAAAAAACATGCATAACTTAGATACCGACAAGACTTCCATGCTACCCTTTCTGAAAAATAAAAAAGATTAAAAAGATTATGTCGACATATAAACTGAACCAGCAATACACTGCCAACTTTTTCTTTCAAGCTGAACATTCAGCAACCATGGTCTCTATACAGCATTCGTCAAACAAGCATTTCACTGTATGTTGTACGAGTACGACTGCATCTGATAAAGACCTTTGAACTTTGATAAAAACGTAACAGTGGCATTTACAGATTCTCTTGTATTGCAGGTTACTTTTACACGCAATATACAGTATTTTCTACAGCATTTCCATGTAAATAAGCTTCGTTTTTCTGCCAATCCACCTTCCAGCCGCAGATTCTTACCGGAGGATTGCAGTAGCTACATTTATGTAAATTATACTATTTAAAGAGCAGAAACATTAGCTAATGGAGGTGAAGGCAGCAGGACACGTCCGACAGACCATAAAATAATGCAAAAGACTGGAACCCAACAAGCGATACTCCCCCCCCCCTTCAGTTTTTTATGAAAAACAAAACCATCTAAACTACACGTAAACTTAAGCAAAAATTTATTTTGACATTGTTAAAACACTATAGCCAATTTTAAGTTGCTTCGAAAATTCTTTATTAGATAAATGTAGATTTACTCTATATACTGCATAACGATAATTCAGATATAGATCAAATTTATTGTTGATTGTCTTTTGGATCCAAACAAAATTTGTGACAGCTTTACACTATTTAATGGGAATATATGTTGAACAAAGAAAACATATAAATATGTTTATGTTGAAAGAGTTACATTTTTCCTGCTCACCCATCACCTGGCTCAGCAGATTACGGTTCTGTTAAACTTTGGAGCCCTTAAGGATTTGCGCGTTAATTGGACGTCCGTCAATACAAGATCCAGGGGTGTCTGTGCCCCCATTTATTCAGCGTCCACCATGTGCTTGGTGTCGTGGATTGGCGAATCAAACGACAGCCTCTTACTGATGCGAATAAATTAATTATAAAAATGAATAAAAGCAGAACGGCCCTCAAAACACTATGTACATTCTAATATTTACTGTGTTGAAACTGCGTTTTTAAATAATATTTGAGATTGGTCTTTTTATTGTACCAACTCCAATCATCAGCCAAACATATTCACATAGCAAATTAAAAATAAAATTAAAAATGTTCCTAAATAAAACTCCTATATTACTATTAGTATTTAATTCCTACATACAGGAATAAGTCCCACTTCATATACATGCCAATGAGTGTTGTTGTTGTTAACTAATCATACTTATACAACCTGTGGCGGTTCTACTTTTTATATTTGTGGCAAGCTACTACTCTACAACCTGGAATATCCCGTCACAGAACGTTCAAACGTTAATGGTGCAACAAAATAACACAGTGGGCCCAATAATGACCAAAATGACAGTATTTAGCTCTCTTAAGTGGATTTTGGACTCCGTACACAGCATCTAGCGCAACGGCTGAGCATTACATTGCAACAAAACACGACCGGCACATCTCAAGAATGTTAGCTCCGCTTCAATATTCGAAAGCATGAGAAAGTCTCCTTCCGCGTGTTTGCATTAAAAACCCTCGTGGAGCATTTCAAGTTATTCGTGTTGCTGTCCAGAATTTAGGAAAAGCACCTTTAGAACATTTTTGAAAACAAAGTAAAGAGACCATTTCTAGAAAAATGGAAGCTAGAACATCCTGCAAGCGTTTATATCCAAGAGTCTCCTGTGTGGTCGCCTCTTGGTCTGCTTGATGGCGGTCCGCACGGCGCACTCAAACACCTGCTGCACGCCCCGGTTGCTGAGCGCCGAGCACTCCAGGTAGCCCCTGGCCTGGATGTCGTGCGCCAGCTTCTTGCCCTCAGCGGAGGACGTGCAGCTGGCGCGGTGCGCGCCCGCCTCGCGCTGGTCCGTCTGCGTCGCCACCACCAGCACGGGCACCTCTGGGAGGTGCTGTCGCACCTCGCCGATCCACTTGTGCCGCACGTTGGCGAAGGAGCTGTGGTTGGCTACTGAGTAGCAGAGGAGCACCACGTCGGCTTGGAGGTAGGACATGGGACGGATCTGCCGGAAGCTGTCGGCTCCGGCCGTGTCCCAGAGGCCGAGGTTGATCGGAACGCCGTCCATGAAGACCTCCACGCCCATGTTCTCGTAGACGGTCGGCTTGTAGCTGTCCGGGAACGTCTCCGAGCTGAAGCGCACCAGTAGCGCGGTCTTCCCCACGGCCGTATCCCCCACCAACACGCACTTCAGCTGGATCCCGTTGGCCTCGTTCATTTTCGCTAATATTTCGGTCTGTCAAGAGAATCCGGCTGCGTACTTGTGCTCACAGACAGGAAAGACGGTCAGAAGGCATCAAAAGGTTGTCTGTTTTACTTCCTGCGCGGCAGAAGAAGAGCAGATGGCTGCATCACCCCACTCCAGCTGATAAAGTTCTCCAGATGGTCACTGTTTCTCCATGCCGCACTGCTGCAGCGGAAGCCTATTAGTGATGTTTCTGCTGCATTTGATAACCTGTGATGGAGATAAATCGATGGCGGATAAGAACATCGTAAAGTCGGAAACGATCCAGACATAGAAAACAACTGTGATTCCATGCATTAAACTTACATATATTCTATTTAGTAGATGCTTTTGTTCAAAGTGACGTACAATCGAGGCAAAAAGCACATTACAAACATACGCGTGGTCAAGGAGCCCAGTAGGCACTACAGAGGATAGGCTGAGCTTCCAGCGGTTCCCAGTTACCTGGGCAGGTGGGGCTGGAGCAGGAGCTGCACAACAACTTCTAACAAAGCAAGACAACATTGGCTTTTCTAGCCAAGCAAATTCATTCTCGAAGATGAGTTCCTCTCATGCCTATACGCCGTATACTTGCTGACTGACCTGTAGCTGGTAGCTTGACACCCACTAAGCTTGTTAACTCAGCAAAGGAAGTGGTGTGGTCTCACCCTTTGAAGCCCCTGAGACACCAAAGTCTTTCTGGCTCCCCTGCAGTTCAGTCTACTAGAGCATCAAACATACGGCGCATCGGTCAAGAACAACAGCAACGCGAGCGACCTGTCATGCGTAGCTGCCTCTATTACGGTGGGGTGATGTTGGTTCGAAAAAAGACACAGTGTAGTGAAAATATTCATCGTAGTCATCTAAGACTTGGTGCGACGCAGATAATTCTTCATTCGGGCAGGTATGAAGTCTTGCATTGACGGTCTCTCTCGAAAAGCACAACAAGAATGGCACAAAACCCTGACCAACATATTTCATTGTGTAAGATCTCACTTAATGTTCAATGCGTGAGCTAAAACACATTGTGGAACACCTCTAGATACTTTCAGGGATTTGTAAAAAGAATGCATATTTGAAGTTCTAAAATCAGATATGGGTGTGTGGTAACCATCCAGTTTCACAGCTACAGCAATTTTGTGACTGATTCAGGGATTTAGATCTTGCTTCTGTATTACATTCGTTAAATTAGGGTTATGGCCTTTTCCAAAGCGCCTGACAGGCCGAGCGACCGGGCCAATGATCATGATGGCTGACTATCAGCCGATCTAAAGGATGATTCTTCTCGGCTGGGCCCGATGATTATGGTTTCAAAATAAGCTTGAAAATTCATGCTTGCAAGTATGCAAGCTTTCAACTGATTCGACAATCCTCCGAGTCGAGCATCCAGCAATCACCAGCCGTATCCAAAACATTATTGTTGCATTATGCTCCTGTGAGACAGACATGTTAATTCAGCGATTTTGTTCGCCTGAAGTTCAGGGGACCCTTTGTGTGTCTGGTTTTTAAGGGTTGTGTGTGTGTAATATCAGAAACATCTATGTGGCATTTTTAGGCAAGGTCACCTAATTCTTTAAGTGGAAAATGAGCAAGCACAAGTCTGTGTTTTATGTGAAAGACGTAAATATCGAATGAGGCAAATGTTAGAATTTGTAAATTAACAGTTCTATTAATAAAGGTCCCCTACCATGTGACTTAAGTATTAAAACTACGCAAAAAGGTACCAAATAATTCAATCAGTACAATAACAAAACAATAAAAACAATAATAAGAATTATACTATTATTTTGTCTGTGGGTTCAGTAACATTTGACAGACTGGTCGCTATTTGTAAAGTCTAAACATCTTTTTCTGCCTTTAGTGAACAAAGAGGCACAAAGAATGATCACAATGAAGCCACATCTTTTTATGATGAAAGATTAAATGTTTCATCTAGAGGAAACTTCAAAGGGTAAAGAACACAGGAATATAGATTTTAAATGTTTTAATTCAAAGGAAGTTTCAATATAAATTGTATTTAATTTCCCATTGTATAAATGTACAGATGATACATGCAGTTAAAAAAAAAAGTTTAAATTCTAGCTACAGCCTGTTACAACACGTAGTTATTACATATTCATTAAGTTCCAGTGCAGTAATTACCCAACTACATTCGAGTTGTTGAATTATATTTTATATAATTTTTCAAACGATAACAAGAAAAGGCTACTCGGACGGTGATCTGCAGGTGTTATTATGCGATTAAACGTCATGGTCTTATTTTTAAGAAGTGTTTCATAGAGAATAGCAAAGCCCACGAAAACGGATCCGCAGCCCGGTTAGGGAGCCGGGTCAGCGCCTTACCTGCACGGGCGAGAAGCTCCGCGTCTCAGCGCAGCGGCCCGTCGATTACCAGCGGCTGCAGATGGGGAGTTCCTTTCTGAGACATCCGTTCATTTCTGGGGAACTGCGGACATCGCGATGCTATAAGATTTCGCACTTTCTACCGCGACTTTTCGGTTTATAAGCGTTTTTAATGTGTTTCCGGACACGATGTATTTTACGTTTTCCTTGAAAGAAGAAGCGCTCATTTAAAAATATCATGAGGGCGAATTCGTCCTTCATGTTACGGTGCATAGATACGCACCAAAAACTTTCCACAAAATGCTTATTTCTTACTTCCGCCACATTTAGGCCTAGTGGTGTAATAGTCTTTTTATTATATTTTTTGTAATGATGTTTAAAACGTACAAGAAAAGACCATGAATTAAAAAGACTGACAAAAGTTAAGGGAGTCTCCAGATATAAAACTCATTGTTTTTTTTATTTTTAGGGGGTTGGAAAATATATCAACTTTTACATCGTTTATTGCAGTTTACTGTAGGGAAACGATGAGTCAAAGGAAAATATTACCTTTTCTGTATACATTACGGAAAATACAAGTTTCATGGTACGCCAGTAAATCACACGTACATAATATAACACGCAACTTTTTCATATATAAGCAAGCGATTGGTTATATAAAAACACTTCGTATTTTAAATTTATTGCAGCGGAGTCGGTTTCGGTTTCAGACATCATTTGGCCGCAGGTGAAAGTTACTGAAGAATCAATATAAAAACGATTCGCCCCTTAATAGGCATTTCCATAAAAAATATAGGCACAGGTTTGTAAATTAGCCCTACATTATTAATCATTGTTTCACATTTTATTCCTAAGGTTAATGACATTTATTATGCTACTATGCAAAGTGTTGCTACTTGGACAGAATTATAGCACTTGCATTCAAACAAGAATGTAAAAATGCTATGGTAGGCTACAATGGTTAGAAAGACGCGAGGCACAGTTTAGCAGGTGTCATATCAGGGGTAATTCCACAGATACAGAAGACACGACTGCCACCCTGCAAAGGAAATAAAACAAACCAATAAACTACTTACTTTAATTGGTGAATAACGTGCCTGGGCTGACCTACGGCGCGTTGCCTGTGCTTTCTGGACGCCGAGATTTGCTGAGTGAGCTTATCATTAGCGCGGAGTCATTAATGACCTCGGAAACCTTCACCACTTAGTGATATCTGCGCTGGTGATAACCAGTGAGACACTTCACTTTTCTCCATATGTATGTTTTTTTCTGCTTCGTGTATGGATTCTTTAGTTATGAGGCAGGTGTTGCAAATCATGCCTCACCTTAATTCTGTAGTAAGTTCCGGCGAGACGAGAACAAACCACGAGAAAACATTTTTGCTCTGCTGTTACATCACTTTTTGCCCTGTACTCACTAAGTTAACCTGCCTTGGGTTTTATCCGTATCTCTCTATATTTTCTGACACGTGACTGTATTCTCTGCAAATTTTTTATAACAATCCAAAGCGTGTATCGTTATTATATTGCTGGGTCACATAGGCCATTATATGGGTAAAAAGAATATATATGAAAAACATTCATATTTGACTAAACTATAATCATATACTTAGTTTCGTATTGTATGAAAATTAATGTTTACTTTGGTCGTAAAAATTCTTTAACGCGCAGACTGTTTCTTTTGCTTCGGTGATGGCAATTTTTTTCATTGACAGTATGTCAGTATCAGTCCTTTGCGCCACCTATAGTTGCGCCATTTGCCTCCATTACCGTATATATATAGATGCAATTTTAGGCGAAGGCAGGGCGGGTCAGTTTACAGCGGTAATCAAAGGGCACTATCAGCAGCTCTGTGCAGCCACCGAACGTGAGGGGAAGCCAGCTTCGGTTCACCTGGTGCTGTGAACTTTGAGGTACTTTACTTCAGGAGGCCGGATGTAGGCTCAAACTCCCATGAGTGTGGTTACGATGTCTGTCGACTGACGAGTTCATCATTACTTATCTCCAGAGCCTCACGGAGATTATAACGGCAAACACGTGTGATAACGTAGAAAAACGTCACGGGCACTGCTTACATACACAGAGAAGCTGGTGGCGTTTATATGAATTTGGGCCTAATTTATAGAAAAGGGGGTTTATAGATAGGTGAAGGAGGGAAAGCCAGAAAGATTCCAAGGGCCCCTGACTGACAGAGGCCCTAAAACAATTGGAACTTAATCAGATCGATCTGGGTTGGGGGGGGAATGTCATATGCATCTATGGGGCCCAAAATGTATGGCAGGAGCCCTTGAATATGGCAAATATCATAGTGTGGCAAGCCCCCCACCTCAACAAATTCTCAGTTTAACAACCTTATTAGTCAGCTGGGAGTGTTTCCAGCCCCCGGTTCCTTTTTTTGACGCACATGAGCATAAACCAGCTGTTCAGAGAAAAAGGTCAACAATGGGAAAGAGAATGATGGTATCACAGTATAGATAAAACCATTTCAGATGAAGTTTCTCTGTTTGAAATCAAGTTTAAGACTTTCCGATGTTTAATATTTCAGCTTTTCAATTGTCTTGCTCAGTGAGATGCTGAAGACGATTAGAACTGAAGCATGCAGTTAATAATAATAATAACCATAAAACACTGCTTCTGTTGCTGCTACTACTACTACTATAATTACTATAATTATCAGTAATGTAGTAACATAACTTAGTGTTCAGTTCAAGGATGTGTACAGTATATGGGCTGTTTACAGTAGGTAGCCTTCTAGACACGTACGAGCGTGTGCGTGTGTGTGTGCGTGTGTGTGTGCGCGCGTGTGCGTGTGTCAGTGGTTCTGCAGACTCCCGCCTCCCTGCTCCTCGGCGCGCCGCCGTCGCCGCTAGGTGGCGCCGCGCCCCGCCTTTTCTCCCCAGCGGCGAGCAGAAAGCGCGCCGCCTGCACACGGGCATCTTTGTGTTGAAACTGAAAACCTCACGGCGGCCCGACTCATGCACTGAAAACGGCGTGTCCGTGAGGTAAAACACCGGCAAACCAGGCATTTGATCCGCACGGCGTGGGAGCTGAAGGGTCCCCGTAACGCGAAGCTTTTAAAAGTGAGAAGGTCTACGAAGCCCGGCGGGGAGATCGGCGCGGTTCGCCGGACGGCAGTCGCCTCGGACACCGGCGGACCCCGGCGGACACGGAGCCCGGGTCGGTGATGGGAGACTTACCGGCGCGTTTATAAACTGCACTTAAATCTCTGACAAATTGATAGCAATGTTAAAAATAATTATATTTTTATTTTAGAAGTAGTAGTAATAGTAGTAGTGATATTTGTGTGCTTGCAGCCTTGCTTCGCGAGTATATGTTGCTGAAATATCATTATTGTTGTAACTATTTTTTATTTAAAGTGTAGAATTTTTCGCTGCTAGACTCGAATGAGGCCTAACGCGTAGGCCGGACGTTTTGGCTTCAACGGTTTAACGCCGTTTCGTTTCAGTCTGTGCATTATTCCTTATTATTATTTTTTGCCGCTGCAGATCACTTTTGGAGGTAAACAGTTGTGCTCTGTTTGCATGTATGTTTTTCTTTCTTCACTTTTTTTAAAGCCTCGTGCAGCTTTTGAACACATCCGTGGAAGCCGGCGCTTTCTCGTCATGGTCGCTGAGTGAAAGGGATACGGAGCTTGCTAAAGCAGCCTGCCTTCCTTGCCTTTATTTCTTGAAAATTTCTAAACCTCTTTGACCAAAACCTTTAACCGGAGTCTGATTTCTGGTGTTATTTTTGTAAGAAGCATGTAAATGTGTGTATTTTATTGGAAAAGGGAAAGCGCGGCTGGTTGACTGTGCTGTAATTCCTCTTTTCGACCCATAGAGGCCAGTAGAGCGCTGTTCGGACGCTGCCCTGACCAGAATGGAGTTCCAACCACAACAGAGATCCGCCGACGGCAGGATCACCTATCCCCCTGGGGTGAAGGAAATCACGGACAAGATAAGCAACGATGAAGTGGTCAAGAGGTTAAAGGTAAGTTATCAATGGCCAGTGTGTTTTATCTGCCTTTTATTCTATCTCGCATCGTGAGAACCAGTGTCCGAGTGCAGGACAAAGTTTTGATGTCATTTGGATTTAGTTCCTCTGTGATGCTATGATCTGACAGATTTTTAAGACATTGTTTCACCGATTTGAGTTCTTGGACTGAATATATTTGGTCTTGCATGGAGTTTCCATGTTCCCAGTGTACACTGATAGAATTATTCTACGGCCAAAGTTACAACCCGGACCCAGAGATTGTTCTTTTTCTGCATCGGCACATAACCTTCTCCGTGGTTCTCCTAAAGCCAGTATTATCTCCAGCGAAATGCTTGAGGGGACAGTCGCAATGCATTATCTGTTTAGATCTTGTTGGGTCTCTTTGTGCTTTTCTGGCTCTGTGTAGGCTCAGAGGACATTGTAGGTGTCGTGTGATGTTTACTTTAGTCTTGTTAAAGTATTTTTGAGCCATTTGGCACTGGCTGCCTGGGATGTATGGCTGGGGCTTGCTCATGCCTGCTGGGGCTTGCCAGAAGCAGTGTCTGCTTATGAAGCGCTTGTGAGAGTTTTACTTGCACAACAACGTTCTAAGGGCTGAAAGAAAAATGACTGGTTGAGAGAGAACCAATCAGATTGTAGAGGAGGAGGGACCAATACATCTGATTGGTTGCTCCCGCCTCCTCTAGTTGCTTGGATCCACCTCTACAATCTGATTGGTTATCTCTCTGAACCAGTTGTTTTTCCTTCTGCCTGTAGAACATTGTGTAAGTAAAATTCCCATGAGCTTAAGAAGCCATGTGAGTTTGCCTTGTATGGTGGTTTGCTCTCGTAGAGGATAAAGGCAGCAACATTGGTGGCGGTGACATATCTGTCTAATAGACCTTGTTTATTATTTTGGACTGATGTTTTTGATGTGCGACTTAAATTTGCAGCAGTCCACTTGTTGGATCTGAATTTTGATTAGGTTACCTGGTAGCAGTGTTTGTTTTTGCAGGTGTCCTACCCATTAACACCAGTGATTCAGCATGTGTTGTGAAACGGCAGCTGGATCAGGGTGTGGTTTTATGTTCCGTGCTGAAAACAACACATTTATAACACGCCCCCCCCTCCCCCCCATCTTTCAGTTATTCCTCTTTGTTTGAAGTGTTTCCATTTTCAAACACTCCATTCGAAAAAATAATCTTTTTCCAGATAGTCTAATTGAATAACTCTTGTGTATTTTTGTTTCTCTAAAATCTTGGATATGTTACACTAACCATACCATTGTTCCCTCCCGCTAATTAATACATTTTTCACATAGTGTTCTTATGTGTACAATCAATCCAAAGCTCTCTTGAGCTGTCTAGCAACGACATTGCAGCTGGGTTACCAAAACATGGTATTGTTCATAATTTGGTTTTTCTGGTTATTAATGATGTCTTGCACTGTGATTGGTGATTAAAGAAGAACTTATCAAGGGAATGGTGAGTCGTTGCAACATTGAGTCCAAATCAGATAATCGACAGGCTGAAGTTCTCACCGTCTGAAGGTTCCTGATGTACCATTTTCCTTCTGTCCAGTGGGGAAAGTCGTATGCACTGCCTTTATCGCTGTAATATGTTCCTGAAACACCCTGTTCTAGTTGTGTATGAGGCCTGTTTGTACTTATTATTTGGGGGGGGGGACTGAAGGGCCAAGTGAGGCGAAGCAATCCCATGGCATCTCCACCCAACTTAGCATCCAGTTCCTGTAGAAGCTTCTGGCAGCAGCACTGGCCCGGCTGCCTCCGAAGCACTTGAATTTATACCCTGCAGTCATGACTAGAGTCAGTCTCTGGATGGCTAATCTATGGGAGTCTCAGTATGGGGGATTTTGTTGAGTCCATTCCCTGTGTATAAAAATGGAGGCAGCAGTGAGGATTTATAGCTTTTCGTACTGTTTTTCTGTAGTGGTATCAAATAAGAGTGAGGCTGAATTAGCACAAAATAGGGTTGGGCTTAGGATGTATTATGTGTTTGTTTTTTCTGGGCTGTCAGGGATTTGAACTGGGTGTTGACTATGGCTGTAGAGTAATGTTAAAGAAACAGGCAGTGACAGGACTAACCTTGGTTAAATGATTAATTGCATTGAGTAATCTTAGAACTTAATACACAACCATAATACAAGAAAATGCAGAAACGCGAGCTATATTTAGAAGGATTAGCTGCATTTAAAGTAGCCTAACTTGCCTGCTCCTTGGGATTAACTCGGCTGAAGTGTATTGCATTTTTAATTCACAAATGTTCATTATTGAGCTGTGCAATATTAAAAACTGTAGACTGCAAACCTAAAACATGATTTCAGACTCACGCATGGTCTCACTGGAGAAAGTATTTCATCCTTCCACTGTTTATGGGAAATCTCTATTCCGAAGTGTTTTTCAATACAGTTCTAATGAATTTTGTGAATGTTTAGATTTGTGGTACTTATTTCCATTGCTGTGGGGAAATTCAGTAGTTTTGCATATAATATCTTGCTGTCTGTGAGAAATGCTTGGGGTTGAAACACAGACTTAGGGGTAAAAGTGCAGGAATCAGCATGTGACCCTGAAGCATTTGGGGTTATAGACTTTGCTTAGGGCTCCAGCAGTGATTTGGTTACTCTGATGGCCACGGGATTCAAACCCAAGACCTCTGGGCATGTGCACAGACCCTCTACGCCAAAGAGCTACACGTTGTCTCTTAAGGATGCCTAGATTGTGCTTTTAATTCCATTGAAGGATAGATTTCTGACTCTCTTTAGATGGTCAGGGAACGATCTTTTTTTGTGGCTCTGCAGTGGTATGACAGAACCAACTTTATATAATCCTGCCACTGTATTTGTAGTTTTGCTGATAATATTGACATAAATACTGATGCACATGGGTATGATTTCTAATTTAAAAGTAGATCGCATAGAGTTTTACTAGTAATTTTTTTTTCCTTGTCATCTACTCCAAGCTTTGTGTCTTTAATTGGATATCGACTTTAAAATAAGACTGTTGCATTTAAGCTGTTCCCAGGGATAGAGGGGAGTTAAGTGCAATTCCCTTATCTTTGAATTTTGTCTGGTACTGGTTAGCCACACGAGGCTGACACATGCTCTGCTTGAAATGTAGCGACAGAAGGAACAAGACCACTGTTGGATGTTGTCGCTAATAACTTTAATGGCATCCTCCTTGATTGCCTTTTTGGTTTGTTTCCTTTGCGTTAAAGTAATTGACTGACAGAAAGGTAAATTCTGGTAGGGGTAGTGGTCATAAATTGATTTACAAATGTCAGTTCTTTGAGGCGGTGATTTTTATATTGCCGCTGTATTTGAAAATCGATTTGTAAATATCCATTTAAAAGTACATTATGCTGGACACGTTTGTCTGGTTGCATATGGACCAATTTTAAGGGACTGACATGCCTGAGTCCGGCACAGCGCTATCATGTATGCCCGTGGGTGTAGAGACTCGTCCAGCACTGCCTCAATTTAAAGTTTGGGCAAACTCGGGATTCTGTCAAGCAAACTGATACCTAGACGCGAGTATGGATATCTGCTTGGGTTCACGGTTAGGTGTAATTTCTGCACGGCAGGGAAGCAAAATTTGTTTCGAAATTGTTTATTAAAACTGCAAACTGGAAAAATTGAAAACAAACAAGGCAAATGCGCCTGTCGAAGCTAATTTGCACAGTAAAAATATGCAAAAGAAAAAAGACTCATAAGTCATAATGAATTAAATCCCATGTTCTCTGTTACAGAGTATGGTAATATATCTGTAACGATAAACACCCATATAACCTTCGCTATTTAAATTTAGCTCTGTCTAGGGCTGAAATATTTTGGGAAAATATGTAATAGTGATAGTAATAATTCTGACAGATTGTGATTTGATTTGCTATATATATTTTGAAGGGTCAGTTCAATATTCGGTGTGTAACATTTAATACACATGATGCAGCATTACCGCATGAGATCCCATCAAAATATCATCTGGTCTATATTCTAATCCAAGGGTGAGAACTTAGATACGAAGGATGAGAACGTAGATACAAATTGCTTCCAACATGTATTTTACATCTTTTATATTAGCAAAGAACAATCAAAAATAAAACAATTATTACAAAAGCTGTAACCGTATTGAGTTAAAGTAGTAAGAAATGGTAAAATCAATTTCAGTAAGAAGGAAAAAAAAAGGGGGGGGGGTGCAGCTACCGCTCCTTGGATCCCTAATAACAGGACCTTTCTGTACACAATTTCTGACCATGAAATAGGCAGGTAATTCACTTACAGCTCAGCAGCGGAATCAATATCGTTTCGCACCGTGAATCTAACGTTTTCCTTAGGTTTCACATGTTTGTGGCATTCAGCCGTTTTGATCGGTGAGCATGACTGGCACACGAGGAGCACGGCGCTTCTGATTGGTGAGAATCACTGCCACTCAAAGAGGACTGCATGAATTTGTCAAACGATTTTCGTGACAGTTTTAAACCCCTGGATCAGACATGCTGTGTAATGCATATCCGAAATCGCAGCCTTTGGGAATTGCTAATCTCGTCGTTTCAAATCAGAATTTCGATTTGCAGTCGATAAGTCCCTCAGACCTAGCTCTGTCTGATAATTCCTGACCAAAGCTCCTTAAATACCATGGGAAGACTAACTTGCAGAAGCCGTTTCTGCATCTCGGTTTGTGGATGATGTTTCAAATGAGTTGGCATGTTTCTAGCAGCACGTCAGAGTTCGATAAAACGGAATCGAGAGTCCTGGTCTTATCAGTTACTCTCGCTCTGTAGTGTTGTTGTAACTTATTGGGAAACCAGAATGTTCCCAATCTACTGATTTAAGTGATGTGGGAGATCTTTGAGATCTTCAGCACTAGCTGTAACCAGCTCACTGCCACAATTAGCAACATTTTCCGTGTTGAACATCTACTTCTGAATTTAGTTTTCGCCTGTGCCAAGAAATGTATTCATCCGTTTCATTGTGCGTTCTGAACCGAAAGTCATAACGGAAAGCCACAGGACAGATACATGTGCTGTTTCAGTCCTCGCCTTTACTTTGAAATGTAGAGCTGAACGCCTCTTGAGCAGCAGCCTGGGGGGGGGGTTTCTCCCAGGTCGGGAGACTCCTGCCTGGTTTCATTCTTTGAATGAATGTGAATGACAGTTTATGGCCTCGCATCTTTGATCCATCGCTGTGTTGGACTGACTGCTTGCTTGTGAGTGACGATGGTAAGGCATGGAGGCTTCTTTGCCCAGTGCGATTAACAGGCACCCCTGGCATTCCTTTAAATGATGCATTAACAATTCTCAGCAGCATTTCTAAGGAAGGAGCGTAGGGACGTGTTAATATCAGTGTCTTTCAGCTGCTGCTTCTGGTTGGGGGGGCGGGGGGTGTGAGGAGTGGAGGCTAGAGCCTGTCTCAGGCTGTGAAGGGCATTAGGCGGGGGTGTACATTGGACAAGATCCATCGCTGGGCACGCGTGCGCACATGTACGCACGCTCGCGCATATGCAAGCATGTGAATTCTGGCTTATGTTTTTGGATGCGCACAGTCAGACATGTGGAAGAACAGAATGAAGCTTTTTCAGCTTGTGCTTCTTCAGACCTGCACAGCAAGCAGAGAACATGTGACCTCCACCCCCGCAGCAGGGGACAGGACCCTAGAGGTGTGAGTCCTCACCGCTACCCACCAGGACGCCCGCTTTCCAGCCCGATGGCTGAATCCTAACTGGCAAGGCCCCTTGCCCTCTTTGGCTGGACCCCAGTCTGTTGGCATCTTGTGGTCCAGTGTGTAGAGATTTTTGCTGTCAGTCTTGAGTGATGTGTATGTGACTCTATCTGTGCTTGGTTCTTAAATGCCTCCTTTAAAATTAATGTTGCATTATCATGGAGATGACTTTAAGACACTAGTGCAAGACAATAAAAATTTAATTATTAGTTTTGTTTTAGTTTGCTTTCTTTTTTTAAAGGGGTTTTGTAAATACAAATGATTAAAATAATGAGGAATGAGGCTGAACTGAGTAGCTTCCTTTTATGACGTGAAACGTCTAACTGTTGTCACACTTGACTTGGTTTCTCTTCTCCTGCAGAACCTAACCCTGCTATTGGCCAGCTGGAGTCAGTTCATAGTCTTTCTTCTTCTGATTAACGGCTAATTATTGGTTATCTCACCGAAATTTGTTTTGAAGTGACAAGGTGGGTTTTCCCACTTTGAATTCCATTAAGTGACTGGGGTGAACTACCAGTTAATGCTGTTCCTCATGGTCATTATCACCATTCTATAATGTCACATCAGTGCTGCTCACATTTTGTGGTTTGTTGGGTTCTGACTAGAGACATGATATATTGGTTAGCATATAGGTATCGCCCGAAGCTAGTTAAAAATAAAGACATCTGCTTCTGGCCCGGGTATCAGGCTTGGTATATATTGCCGGATAATATTTAGACTTGAGTCAGTATTCAGAGTTGGCAGCACCAGTTCTGAAGGCATAACCACTAGAATGATTTAAATAATTGCACTGGGCAATCCGGCGTTTTCTGTAGTGGTGGGCGAGGGACTCCGCCGGCTCATGCGTCACTTAGTCTCTCAAGTCGGCGCTACTTCATTGATGTCTCATTGTGATGTCTCTAAAATTTCCACATCAGTGCACCTCTATTTCTGAAGTTTCCAAATTCTCGTCAGACCTCCATTTGTGACGGCAGTGTTCCTCTGCGGCGGGCCGCCAGCTCTCCCTAAGTGCCCTGATACCAGTTTTTAGCCCTTTGATCGATGCAGCTCTTGGTTTTCTGCATTAAATATTTATCGTGCAAAATGCAGTATAAATAGAATCTAGCAGTTGTGCTTCAAAAGTCTGCTATTGTCTGAAAGTTGATCTCACCTTTTGGAAGTGGTTAGACCTGATGCATGATTTCTTTGTGAATGTTTAAAGAGAGAGAGCGATTTATAACAGTAGTTGTGTGATTGGATAAAGATGTGTTTTGGTGCGGTCTCTTGGACTGTTAGATTTACACCCGAGATTCTGAATGGCTGAGAGTCTGTCCTCTTGTAGGTGCCAGATGCACGGGGGTAAATGTGGGTGTGTACTCGCTCCCTGCTCATTCCTATGGACGAGCACCAAAAGTGAGATTGCCAGTGCGATTTTATTTTGGATCTGATGCGTTTGTTTCTGTCCAAGTTTGCCTTTCGGGGCTGTGGGTGCCTGAAGTGAGCTTCTGAGGTATTTATTTGTAGGTTGGGTTTGCTTTCCACGGGCGCCTCGAGAGGAAAATGTGTCAACGAGCAGGGAATGTTTGTGTGTTTGCTAACGGGGGAAATTCATTTCTGTACAGCTTTTAAAGAAAGGTCCTGGCTCGATTGTAGGGTCTTAGAATTGTTTTGAGATTTTTTTATATATTATTGCATCAAAGTTGTTGATTCAACAAATGTAGGTATGCTAAGTTTCTAAATAAAAAGGTGCCGGCGTTGTTTTCGTGTGTGTTTGATAGTGGCAGATGGCAATGGAATATTGCACAGATCTGTTACTGAACGGCTATCGAAAGAACAGTGAGATCTGCAAAGGCAGTCTGGTCTTCTGAGTAGTCTGCCCATCCCCCACTCTGTCTGTTCAATGCCTTGGCCTCTTGGTGTTAGCACCCCCCCCATCCCCCCTAGATCGCTCCGGCGGATTTGCCGGCTTCTGCTCTGCTGGGCCCTAAAGCCCTGCCCATTACTACAAGCCTTGTTTTGCCTTCTGAATTAAGATGACTATCCAGTTTCAATGCTGAACCCAGGGTGGAAAGTAAATATGCAGCTAGATGGCAAATTTAATTGACCCCCCCCCCCCCCCCATGTAAAACGTGAGCAAGCAGGAAATGCAGCATCTAGCCTACAGTAAGTAGGTAAAAGCTGGATTTTTTTGTTTGCATTTAGACAGTATTTGGCCTTATTTAGCTTTCCCTTTTATCGTTCATTTTAACAGTTTGAAATAATTGCACAAAAATGTTACTGTATTTTTAGAAACGGAATGGAACATAAGTACGAATTTGCCATATAAAAAGTGCTTACTTGCAGTATAAAGGTTAAAATACGTGGGATTTTCTCAGAATAGGTCACAGGCACATAAAATGCGCAAATTAAAAGCATGCGTATGTACTTATGACAAACGGCCTCACCTACCACTTAATATGACGAATGCATGCTTGTGTACCACTTGTGTGCATTCTTGCTCATAAGTCCCTTATTGTATTGTAAGACAATTACAAATCTATCTCTTTTACCAAATAATTTTTTGAAGGAAGTTTTTAATTAAGTGCCACCTATATGATTGAAGGACCGATACAAGTGAAATTCATCAAAAATATTTTCTAAGTCACGGGGAAAGGCATAAATTAGCTAGATTGATCTTGGGATTTTGTGGATCAATATTGAATCATCAAAACCAGGATCGTGATTAATCATGAAATCGATATGTTTTCCCATCCTTTTGTACATTGTCTGGAACGTCCTTTTAATGGAAATGATGAAAGAATCCACCAATCATAAAGGAAATTATCGGTGGTAAATATCGGCTCATTTTTATCCATCTGCCGATGGCCGATTGTTGCTGTATCATCCGATGCCGGTAGATGCCTGTTCCAGTTGGTGCATCTCGACTTTTTTTGGGTCCTCTTTAGTAGAATTCTAGTAGCTGTTGGCTGTTTTTGATGTCAGATACATAGCAGATACTAATTAACTGAAACACATGCTTCTGCAGAATTAGATGATTCACACCCATAATCTTCACCTACCTGCACAGCAGGGGGGGGCATGTTACTGTGGTTTAGTGCTTAACCCTGTAAATGTGCTACAGAGGGAGAGAGCACAATTAATTGGTTAGTTTCCTTTATTTCAGACGTTAAAATCAGGACTCCTAATGCTAAGGTAGTTGGAGACTCCTTTGATCAGCCTGACTTTGTTACAGCTTCTATACAATCCCTAAGAATTGCAAAAACATCTAAGCTCAATCGATGAATGCTGCCCTAGGTTGCCACGCCTGCAGTCCCCTACATATGTGTCTGTGTATCAAAGTATCACTTCATTTCAAATGCTTCACCTGTGCATTGAGTTGGCAAATTACTGTTCCTGCCCCTTCACCACAAACTGTGATTTACATCTTAATATTGTCCATGTGTGTTTGAGCTTTAATTTCACTGGGAAATGATTCCCTTTCAGTGAATAGGGCACTGAACACTAGCTGGTGGTGTCTTCCCCTGTAGATGGTGGTGAAGACCTTCATGGACATGGACCAGGATTCTGAAGATGAGAAGCAGCAGTACCTGGCCCTCGCTTTGCATCTCGCCTCGGAGTTCTTCCTACGCAACCCCAACAAGGACGTGCGGCTGCTGGTGGCCTGCTGCCTGGCGGACATCTTCCGCATCTACGCCCCCGAAGCACCTTACACGTCCCACGACAAGCTCAAGGTGCAGCTTCAGACTGCACCTGTCGTGCAGTAACGTGATACGCCGTTGATGTAATGCTAGAACCTGCTGACATTCTTGCCTTTGGGTTTTGAACGAATCTGCATTCACCATAATTATGGTCTGCTTTTGTTCGCAGCTAGATAGGCACCTCTTCCCTGGGTCTCTGCACCCTCCGTAGATGTGGTGTACCAAGTCCCTGCTTTGCTGGCCTCTTCTCATTTTGTTTGTCCATCCACAGGATATCTTCTTATTCATCACCAGGCAGTTGAAGGGTCTAGAGGACACCAAGAGCCCACAGTTCAACAGATACTTCTACTTGCTGGAGGTATCTCGTCCACCGTGGATGGTTAAGTCTGCAGAATATGACTATTAGGGAGTTAATCTGATAATCACCCCTCTAGGTGGTGACACTGGGTGACCCTGCACTAGTGTCTGTTCCGTTTCAATGTTTACATTTCAGTGCCTTGTGAGATCTTTATATTCCTCTACGTTTTCATGGTATCAGCCTATTCTGTCAATTTAAAATGCATTATAGCCATTATTTTCTTCTCTCGACCATTCTACTGTAAAACAAATTTTGATTTCCTTAGTACTGAAATTTATGTGATCTGTACGCTGCAGGTATTAATTACCCTGGAGTAGGCTCGGGCGGTATTGTGGTAAAATGGTGTACCACGGTATTTTGGGTATACCACAGTATTTTGGGTATACCACGGTATTTTGGGTATACCACAGTATTTTGGGTATACCACAGTATTTTGGGTATACCACGGTATTTTGGGTATACCACGGTATTTTGAAATGTTGGTGACAAAATTAGCCATGGGAGAGGTAGAGGAGTATTTCCCCCAAGATAAATTTGGTTGCAAAATATACCCAACCCCCCCCCCCCCCACCTTCCACTCAGCAGACTGTGTTGGGAATCGTGTTGCTTCGGGAAAAAAACAGCATTTTGACAGTATACCATGATGTATGATGGTATGAAAAATTATATCCACCCTGGAATTTTGGCTTTTTGTGTGACATGTGAGCTGCAGGCACTGGCTGCTGCAAACGTTGCATGGTTGTTTTTATAACCTCCTCCTCTGTTGCAGAACTTGGCCTGGGTCAAATCCTACAACATCTGTTTTGAGCTAGAGGACTGCAATGAGATCTTCATTCAGCTCTTCAAGACACTCTTCTCCGTTATCAAGTGAGCGTTTGTTCTTTGTAGTCTGTCTGCTGAAGTAGCTTTTTCTGTGACCATCCATCCTTTGTTTGTTGGCTGTCCGTCCTGCTTTCATTTGCCCCAGCTTTCCCCTTTTCTCTCTGACGCATGGCTTCCTTTAAACTTAAGAAGTTCCAGTAGCACAAGTGGTGACGACAGGCTTTATCCTGAAATCCAGTGTCATTGATGGAGTTTCCTCTCTTCTTGGGCCTCAGTACCAGCCACAACCAGAAGGTGCACATGCACATGCTGGATCTGATGAGCTCCATCATCACCGAGGGCGACGGAGTTACCCAGGAGTTACTCGACACCATCCTCATCAACCTTATCCCCGCACACAAGGTATCTTTCCCCCATCTTCTCCGTCTCACAAGGGAGTAGCCTTTGGTCTTTGGGTGGACTTGGCCGCCAACCAAATAAATGTAGCTGTTTGTTTTAAATGACAAACGTTCTTTTTGCAGAATTTGAATAAGCAAGCGTATGACCTTGCAAAAATTCTCCTCAAAAGGACAGTTCAGACCATTGAGACCTGCATCGCTAATGTGAGTTACCGATTCGCCCACCCAGTGCCCAGAATTAATCTGTAGTCTTTGGGATTCAAGGTCTTAACTTCGCATCTGTATCCTTCAGTTCTTCAACCAGGTGCTGGTGCTCAGCAAGTCTTCGGTGAGCGACCTATCCGAGCACGTGTTTGACCTCATCCAGGAGCTCTTCGCCATCGACCCCCACCTTCTGGTGTCTGTCATGCCCCAGCTGGAGTTCAAGCTGAAGGTGACTCTCCTGTCATTTCCAGCTAAACCTTCTTCTTACCTCCTACGTCAGCCTGTTTAGATGCTGTTCTGTGTGGCTAATCGTTTGTGGGGCCTGTCGCTCAGAGTAACGACGGCGAGGAGCGCCTGGCGGTGGTCCGCCTTCTGGCCAAGCTCTTCGGGGCCAAGGACTCGGAACTGGCCTCTCACAACCGGCCCCTGTGGCAGTGCTTCCTGGGCAGGTACGGTGACCCCTTTGCCATGCAGGGCTGCTCCCTCCTGGCACCGTGGAGGCGATCTGACGGTTTATTGGGTGTGTCCCCAAAAGAGATCCATTCAAGTCAAGTCTCGCTGGCTTTGTCGTACCGTGCATATATAGGTGGCATGAAATAACATTCCCTCAGGATAAATATGGTGAATGACTAACAATAAATAGGTTACTGACTCATGGTTTGTGCTAGTCATGTTTGCTGGGGTTTGTAAGTGTTTGGGTTCGTGGTCAATCTTGTCTCACCTCACAGATTTAATGATATCCACGTGCCGGTGAGACTGGAGTGCGTAAAGTTTGCCAGCCATTGTCTGATGAACCATCCCGACTTGGCCAAAGATCTGACAGGTGTGTGGGATATTACCCTGTCCAAAGATGGCTTCTGCATTGATAACACAGCTGGTTTCTATATCCGCTGCTGAGCTTTCATGTGTAGAGTCCAAATTATCAAGGACTATGCAGCAAGTTTACAGCTAATGGCTAATAACAGGCTTAGGGTGACCATGTGACTTCACACGTTTGTTCATTTTGGCATATCACGACAGACTTCCTGAAGGTACGGTCACATGACCCCGAGGAGGCCATACGTCACGACGTCATCGTCACCATCATCAATGCCGGGAAGAAGGACTTGATCCTGGTGAACGACCAGCTTCTGGGGTTTGTTCGGGAGAGGACGTTGGATAAGCGGGTATGAGCCGCACGAGTAGTTCTGTGAAACGTGTTCCGACAAGTGCACTATTCTGCAGCTGCGTCCGCAGAACAGGTCATGGGATTGTCTGGGTAACAGTGGGATTTTTGTGCGTCCCCACAGTGGAGGGTGCGGAAGGAGGCCATGATGGGTCTGGCCCAGCTGTATAAGAAGTACTGTCTGCACCACGAGGCCGGGAAGGAGTCTGCCCTGAAGATCAGCTGGATCAAGGACAAGCTGCTGCACATCTACTATCAGAACAGCATCGACGACAAGTACGGGCCGCCCTGCTCAGCTGCTTTCATTAACATCGTGAAGTTCAGTGCACTGGATTCACTGGCTTTGCAATCCCCCCCCCCCCCCTCCTGTGCGTGCCTTTAGGCTGTTAGTGGAGAAGATCTTTGCTCAGTTCATGGTGCCTCACAACCTGGAGACCGAGGAGAAGATGAAGTGTCTGTACTACCTGTATGCCTGTCTGGACCCCAACGCTGTCAAGTGAGTGTAGACCTCCTCATATCAGAAGGAGATCTGAATACAAGATGATTACCCCTTTGTGAAATGAAAATGAAACGAGGCTTTGGAATCCTTCTTGTTTTTGCATATCCTGTCTCTCCTTTGGGACACACGACACACACAGAGCCCCCCCTGTACATTTCCTATCTATAGATTAGTAAGGATATTGTCGTGAATGTGTCCTGTTACGTCGACACGGGCTATTTACAATATGACAGTGTTATCCAGTAAACCTCCTTCATTTGTTTGGGGTGTTATTAATATGAGTGACTCAGCAAACGGTCTCAGGGTGTGATAAACAGCGTTATGTAATATTACAAACATGGCAATGTGCAAAGTGGGTGGTTGCAGGGTGTGTGTGTGGTGTGTGTGCGTGCGTGCGTGCGTGTGTGTGTGTGTGTCTGTGCGTGTGTGTGCGTGATCCAGCGCTTAACAGCCATGCCGGTTGTGAGATGCTGTCGGTTTGGTACTCAGGGCTCTGAATGAGATGTGGAAGTGCCAGAACATGCTGAGGAGTCACGTCCGGGAGCTGCTGGACCTCCACAAGCAGCCCACGGTGAGCCTCGCCCCCCCCCCATGTGCCGCGTGGAGACCCGAGTATCCCAGGTATCCTTCGTGTAACGTGACAAACATGAGCCTTATTCCTGTTCTGCTGCCGCCCTTCAGACCGAGGCCAACACTGCCGCCATGTTCGGGAAGCTGATCACTATATCCAGTAAGTATACCCCCCCCCCCTTCAGCGTGGTGGTGTGGGAGTCTTGTGTGGTTTTGGTGTTTTGGTAATCAGGCATGTTTATAACTGTGGTTTGAGTGAAATGCCTCATCTGCCTCTTCGGTCTGTTTTTATTTATATGTTAATATACAATGTGTGGGCAGGATGGCTGCACCTTGGCCGGGGGCCTGGCCAGACACTGCGGGGGGGGGCTCTAAGGCCTGGTTCATACTCCTTGTGGATGTGGGCAGGCCACAGCACACCATAGTGCCGGCCACATTCTCTACTTACATCAGCATACCAGGCAGCTGTGTACTGCCCTGCCAGGCCTGGGGTGGCGCTGTTGAGCAGTGCTGTTCATTCGTGAAGTTCTCACTGTTGTATTAAAAAAATGGCATTGCAGTTACAGATGTGTGTTTTTTTTTTTAAGATTGCAGCCATCTGGGAGTCTATAATCCGGACTTCCTCAGCCAACCTTTCTGTGAATCTGGTAGCCATGTTTATTTTCTGTCTGATTAGAGAGGATAGGAAAGGTACAATCTTTGGTCCGCTCTTTCTGACTTTCTGCTGCTGCTGCAGTTCATTCCCCTGGCCAATGATCGTTCGAGGCGTGCTTGTGTCGTTTCGATTTTCGAGCGGTCCCTATGCCTGACCTCAGTGGTGATATATTGTCACCACTGGCACGTGTGCGGTGACACGTCTGCAGACCTCATGGTCTCGCCCCCAAGGCCCCTGACCTCGCCGTGTCAGGCCGTGACCCCGAGCCTCCTCTTTTCATGACAGAGAACCTGCCGGACCCCGGCAAGGCCCAGGACTTCTTGAAGAAGTTCAATCAAGTACTGGGAGAGGACGAGAAGCTGCGATCCCAGCTGGAGCTGCTCATCAGCCCAACGTGCTCCTGCAAGCAGGCTGAGATCTGCGTGGTGAGTGCCTCTGTCTGTAAGCAGCGAGTGACTCTGCCTCGCTGCCTCTGTCTGTAAGCAGCGAGTGACTCTGCCTCGCTGCCTCTGTCTGTAAGCAGCGAGTGACTCTGCCTCGCTGCCTCTGTCTGTAAGCAGCGA